GGAACGGATCTGACTGCTTCATTTAGCCTAAAACAGATTTTACCAAATTTGCAGCCATGTTTAATACAGTACTGTGCCAAAGTCTTTAGCTACCCCTCATTTCTTTATATTTTTCTAGAAAAATGGGAAATAGGTGCAGCAATTTACTGAAACGTGCAAACATTGATATATAATAAGATATCAATGTTTCTTATTATAATGTTATCAATAATAACATTGATATATAATAAGGCAAAAACATGCATACATTTTTACAATTCTAAAAATATTTGGTGTGACCACCTTTATTCTTTAACACATCCTGAAGTCTCTTAGGCCACTTCCATTTAATTTCTTTAGTTAGTCTTTAGAAATAGTTCTCTGGGCTTCTTGAAAGCTCTTCTTTGGATGTCTGCTACCTTTTGTTTCATTCTCTGTCATGAGATTGTTGTAATATACCTTCCTTTTATATTACTTATACTACTACCTCAGCCTTTTCTCCCTGTTTCCCTTCCTTAAGAATGGCTTCTTGACAGCCACCAAGACCTTTTCAGATGAGCCTTCTGCAAACAATGGATGGATCAACTGAAGGTCTAAATGCATCTCTTGGGTTCTGTGTCAAGTCTTTGCTGGATTTTTCCTATTTCTTAAGGATATAAGTAACAGATACTGTTCTTTTGCTATATATAGCTCTTTAGGCCTGCCACTTCTGTTTCTGTCCTCCCCTTTCCAGTTTTCAAAATCTTTTGAGCACACACTGCAGACACTGCCAAGATATGGCAAGGTTTCAGCTAATAGCTTTTTGAGGATTATCTTTTTGGTATAAGAATGATATTTTGTGCCTGTCAAACTGTTATTGTTGGCATTTTTTCTTAGATTCAGCTAAATAAATGGGGACACATTATGTGTTTTTCTTTTTTTGACAGACTGCTGGTAAAAAAACATTTTTACAAAATCAGATTGGTTCTTTGCTAAGTCATTAGTCATTTTCTCCTATGTGCAGACACAACAGTTAGGTGCCTTTTTATGCATGAATCATTCATAGGGTAGTGTTAAGTGACTTAACAAACAAACAAATAAATTCCTCTGAAAATGGTCAGTTACAAAGAAAAATTAGCCAAAAGTCCAAACAGTTTTAAAGACCTTCAGAAATCCTAAAGAACTGCTGATAAAGACCTTTGAATTATTATTATTTTTTAAAAGACCTCCTTAGTAACAAAAGTTAAAGAAGTGATGGATGGCTAAAGACTTTTTGCACAGTACTGGACCTGCTTAATAGGTATAATTAGACAAATGCCTATTACTGCTTATATCTGTCAAAATAAAAGTGTGGAGGGGAAGGCCACTTATTCTCAATCAAATTAAATCTCACTCTGTGTGAGCAAATCCAATTCAACAGTGATGCAGGTAAAAGGATTTCCACACTGAACTCTAGAAATTCGTGCATTTTACTAAAGACACAGTGGAACAACACAGAAGAGTTTCATATTTTATTTACCAGGTTACTCATGATGAATTAAAAAGACTTTATCTAACAGCAGTTACATAACGTGTCATTTTCTATCCAAGAAGATTTGTCATCAACCAAAACTATTAAAAATTATCCTAAATGCCGAGAAAGAATTTACTGATATTGTTATTAGAATAAGAAGGACTGTATGGTGTTGTTGGTTTCAATGAGCAGCAATAGATGGAAAGCTGCTACACCTAGTGGATTTCTGGCAGAGCTGCAAGAATATTAGGTTCAAGTAACAACACCTATTGTATGCAGTGACTTGCTGACACAGTCATGGTGTTGTTTGTTGATAGTCCTAAGGTTTTACTTAATCGTGATCAATCATTTAGATCTTACCAGGCTCTAAACTTCTTAAATACAACCTCAGATGAGAAATAACAGATGGCACACCACACCATGTCATTACTTCTTATGAAAAATTAAGCCAAAGTTCAGAAGCAGCACCTTTGGCAGCATTACCTTGGAGTAAGTGTTTTCTGTGTGACTTTATCAGTCTCTCACATCACCATATTTGGGTCCATTACTCCATAAATCGCTGTTTCAGTTCATTGATGTTTGTGGGCAGGTTTATGCAAAGCTCTCTTAGAGTAGTGCCACACAATTTCAGTCATCCTGAGGTCTGGACTTTCACTGGGCCATTGCAACACCCTGATTCTTCTCTGGTTCAGCCATTTCGGCCATGCAGTAGAATTCTTCCTGCGCGTGAGCTCATCAAATCAGCTCACGCTTCATCAGCTATCAGACAGATGGCCTCACATTTGACTGTAGAGTACTTTGGTATACAGAACTCATGGTTGACTCAATAACTGTAAGGTACGGAGATCCTGTGGCAGCAAGACAAGATCGTGCCTGACAGTTGATACGAGATGTTTGTGCTGATATGCTTTGTTTGGGTTTTGCCACACATGGCGCTGTGCATTATGAAACATGTACACTTTAGTCTAATCTGTCCAAACATTGCTTGAACATATTTTTCAGAAGTATTGCCATTTGTTTTTCCCCCCACCACGAAAGGCTTTCTTCTGGCAATCCTTCCAAATGAGTCATACTTCTTAAAGATCATTGCTGAGGTCTTTCCTCTTTGGCATTGTATAAATAGGCACTCACACTTGCTGATGATCATTTAATCAAGTGCTACTTACCATCTTAATTTCTATGGAAGCTGTATTAACTGTTTCCCAAACCGCTTCTGCGTTTTGGCTTAATTTTATATGTCCTGATATGTAAAAGAATTGAAATTGAAAGACAAATTCAAAGAGGTTCTTTCAATTTAACTTGTTTTGTTAAACTGAAAGAACATAGTGTTAAACATAGTGAATATACTGGGTCTCAGGGGGATGTTGACCAATAGATTTTACTTCACAAAAATATTAAGTAATTAAAAGCAATATGCAGACCTTTAGAGGTTATAGTCTTGTTTGTCTACCAGTGCATCATCAGAGTTATTGGTTGTTTGGTTGTCAGATGTGTCCCTTGTATTCAGATTCTCTTATTCATACCGACTCTAAAAAAAAGTCTTCCAAACACACTTAAATGTAAACTATGAAGGGTAAAACTGACAGCGGTGGGTTAAAGCAATTGTAAATGTACGTTCCTTTAAATTTCTAATACAAAAAAAAGAGTATTTCAGTGAAAAGTTCAATGTATATATAAATATATGAGTATTGTTTTAACATGTGAAGTGTTTGACCCTTTGCTCTCTTGGCTGAGGATATTAGAAAGACTGTATGACCCGAGCCCTCGCTAACTACCCAAAAAACTCAAATTAGCTTTGTAAGAATGTAAATAACCCTCAAGGCACATTTCCATGAAAATAACATCATGCTTTCTCAAATTTGCACTAAATCCACAATCTATCTTGTGGCGATTTTCATTTACATTTGGTGTTTATAATGATTACTGTTAATGTATCTATTCATTATAAAACATAACGTCTCTGTTTCTTTATCCGATCTCAAATGGACTGTGATAATTTTTTCTGCCTAAGTTTCACACTGAAAACATTTGAAACTGGAGACTGTGGCCAGTCAACGCTATTAAGGGCCTTCCTATCAGCTTAATGCCGGGTTTAATTTCAAAATGGAGGGGAGCAAATGGACTGTGAAATATGTGCTAATGGTAACAAGACTTCTCCAAGTTTGGTGAAGGAAAGAGGCACAGAGACAGAGAGACCATGTAATGCCCCGTTCTGTTATCACTGAGTCTGCACATATAATTTCACAGAGTTTTGGAGTCAGAACTCTGAGACAAGCACAATTAAACTACAGACTGCAAAGGGACAGCCTGCTATAATGCTGTGTTAGAAAGTTCACAGAGAGAGTTCGTTTAAAGTATACAGTTTAAAAATAAGGCTCACATCAAGCAAATAAATCTCTACGTCTGTGAGATCCAAGAGCAATATGAAAACACATGTTTACAATTAAGACAATGTGAGACGTGCTATTTGCTGAAAGCATTCATTTTTGTTTATATAATTTCTCATCTTTAGGGGGAAATTTGGCTGAATAAATATTCATTAAAGAGTGAAACACCTCTTCCCTTGGACCACCCCGCTGTATATCCACCCATGTATAGAAATTGCTACTTCATTATTCTTAATGCTAGAGAGCAGCTGGCAGCTGTAGTTTTTATGATGCGCTTTCATTTTTGAAGTGCAAATCCCTGAAGCACATTGGTAAACTGAATAGCTTGAGTAGTTTGTTTGATTGGTCACACACAAGTTTCTTATATCAAAGAGTCCCTGAAAAATAAATGCAGAAATTCAACATATTGTTAAAAAAATAAAAAGCATATTTTTCCTTGCATAATAGTTTGGAGCCCAAACAGCAAAAGAGCACAAGACATAACACATTTTAGGGATTTAAGATTACAGCGCTGCTTTTAGGCCCAAATAAAGACGCTAAATGCTCCAAATTCTTGCCAAAAGTTGAAGTTTATGATGCCTCTCTATAGCAATAAAGGAGCTAGGATCACTTTCATCTAGAATGGAACTGAACCATTTATGATCAAAAGTTAAAATCTCTCGTGACGCATTGATCTTTTTACAAGATCATTTACACCCAAAACAGCATAAGTGAGAAAAAGAAATAAGGATATAATGACGAATTTCTGGGAAACAAAGACAGTATTAGTTAGACAGTAGAGCTCACAATGTATTCAGAATAGGGGAAGGAAATCAGCGAGGTAAATGTTATTTTTGTGTAATTGCAGTTGAAATATGTTATATTTTGCACTGACCTTAACATTTTTGTAGAAGAAAGCATATGAGGTGTGTTAAATGAGATGAGAAGAAAAGAGCCTCTTCCTGCATGTGTGGTAAACAAAAGGAGGCCACTGAATTTCAGAAGCAGATGGGCCACCAAACAAAGAACTAAACACAATTTGGGTACGAACAGAAGACCACATCAGAAGAAGCAGACAACTGCATTAAAGTAACCGCACCAGGTTACCAATTCTACCTTGTGTTGTATGCAGGCCACAAATAAAGACAGCAAACGAGGGGGCGCGCTAAGGATCTCAATTTAATATCATATACATAAAATATTAACTAATGAAAATGAAGATATGTAACATCAAGTATGTGACTCTAAAACTATTACAAATAAATATGTGTGACTTGAGTATTCAATGATTTAAAGGTGCAGTGAAATATCCCTGCATGTTGAAGGGTGAGTGAAAAACACTTTAGTCGTTCAGGAGAGAGAAAAAGGGCAGAAAAGACAATCTGAACAATATGTATTCTGGTATTATGTTTGCAAATGGCAAAGAGGGACCTTCGGGATGCTGTATCCTTCCATAGTCTTTTGCAAATAGCAGAACACTTGTAAATCCTTCTTAAGACAAACAATGAAGCTTAAAGTCCACTTCAGGTCACATGCAAACAAGTTTTGCATAAGGTGCATGATTTAATGATACACTCTTGTCATCCCTTTTTAGCACAATCTGTCTGTATATTTCTTTTTCGTCTCAGGAAAGGTGAAAAAGGCTATAGCCGACCTGTGAGGTGTACATAGCCAGATGTGCAGCAGGGAGAACAGGGGTGCGGCCGTATGAGTAGCCCAGTCCATAGAGCCCTGCCGAACCAGCGTGCAGGGGAAAACCCAAGGATGAGTATCCTGGGTAGAAGACAGCTTTGGAGCCTACACCAGCTGCTAGTTTGAGTTTCTCTACTTCAGCCTCCTGAAGCCTCTTGGCTTTGGCCCGTCGATTCTGAAACCAGATCTTGACTTGGGTCTCGGACAGGGACAGTGAGGAGGAGAACTCGGCCCGCTCGGCGATGGACAGGTACTGCTTCTGACGAAATTTCCTCTCCAGGGCCAGAAGCTGCATTGTGGTAAAGGGAGTACGAGGCTTACGGTTGGTTTTGTGCTTCCTCAATGAGCAGACAGCCGGACTAAGCTGCCCTACAGGATATATGGAAAACATGAAACTAAATCAGCTGTCAAAGCTGGACAAACAGACCTTTAATTCTTTCCTTTTCAGTGGTTTAACACCAAATGACTAAACAGGAAAAGTAATGATCAGAAAATTAATGGACAGCAATACTGATGGAAAAGCCACACTTCTCCTGTATCCTGCTTCTTAGAGTATTTACTACTATCTAAAATTTCACATAATGCAAGATGATTATCTTTAAACAATGTGAAACTGGTGAGTAGAAAAATCATTATGCAAAATTCTTAAAAACAAATAAATATATTTCTCTTTTTATTACTCCTTCTTGTTCTGTCACAAATGTTTGATTTGTCTATTGATTCAGTATTAATTATGCATAAAAACAGTTTCTTAAAATTATGAACTTGAAGCCAGCTGTGGGACTTTTCCTCCAACCTTACACATTTGCATTACAAAAGCTTAAACTGGATGACTTACAGTACTCGAAGACCCTGATTTTTTTTTTAAAAAACCCTGATTCAAAACTGAACCACTAACTAGTAATAAAACTGGATTGAAAAATGACTTACGTGGGGGAGTAGACATCTTAATGGAGCTGGATATCCAAGAGGGAAATTCCTGTTGTTCCAGTGGCTCTGATTTAATAGATATTAAGTTTTGGGTGCACTCATCTGTCCGCTGCGCCTCATCCTCCTTCAAATCATAATTTCCCTTTTCTTTGCTGGTCACAGCCAGCGGCCTCGTCTCCGACATGAGAGCTTCAACGCTGAAGGGAAGACAGGATGTCTGTGCCATGCGCCCGAGCTTCAGCTGCGTTGATCCTGCATCCTCTTCTGTGGAAAACTCATTTCTTGAGTCCCCAGACGCAGACATTTTGTCTTCTCTTTCTCTTCAGTATTAGAATTTAAGTACAATCCATAAGACACTTTTCTGGTCCCAGAATGAGACCGGTCAGAGGGGAATCTGGAGTAGCTTCTCTTAAGCTGTCACAAAGCTGACAGAGTTAGTGCTGGAAAAAGTCTGGCGTGCATTTGGGACTTTCAGCCAATGATGAGTCTTGATCCCAGGGTTTGGGGGAAGACTTGTGATTGGACGTTGTGTTTAGGGCACTCTGCCACACCCCTAACCAGACAGCAGGTCAGCTTCGCATCAGCCTCATTTAGCAGTAATTACCATGGTGGAAGATTGTTTCCTGGCTGTATTTCTTTCACTCTGCAAACTGCATACCCTTAGTTAACATTGAAAAAGCTTGCACATAGTCATGCTTGATGTCTTGAATTAATGCAGAATCATTTTAAATGAGACAGAGGCCGAATACAAAACCTTACTAATATATGTAAATCGATTCCCTGCCTGCTAAGCTCTGTCCCGTACAGCAATTAGGCTGGTAGATTGGCTTGCCGTGTCTTCAAGCATCAGCGTCTGTCTGTAGAGCTGCATTTCCATTTGACAAAAGCTGACGACGCTCCTAATTCAAGCCCCAACGCGCAGACCCTGCCACACCGACTGTTGGAGTAATCACAATGGCAATCAATAACAATCATGGTGCTTTCAAAATTCAGACATCACACAGCAGTTACACACTTAAATGTGAGAGTCAGTTGGGCGATGGATTATGGTTTTGGGCAGGCTTTAAAATGACTGTCATTACATTGTTATTATTAACACCTTGTAATTAGGCCTGTGGAATCCGGTTCTTTTAAGCAGGATTTAACGGTAATGATGGAAAATTGCTACCTTCCTGAGGTGTGTGGCGCCCGCTGCGATTAGTCCCAGTCTCTGCTGTGTGGATGGAGACAGAGGTGTCTCGTGCCTGTTTGAAGCTCATACCTGTAGGGCTCCAGAGTATTAGGAAACATCACGAGAAGTAACGGCGTTCCTAAATGCAGCTTCTAGCCACTCAGTGAAGAATACAAGCGCAGTCGATGGGTTTTACAAGTGACACAAAAAGGTGACACACACCTAACTTCATGCAAGATGAATGTGCTTGCTGCATACTCTAGCTCTCTCTGTCTGTCTCTCCCTCACAGACACATGTCCGCACATCGCAAAGACCTCCTGTGAAGTGACTGGTGTGTGCTGCTGTGTCCAGTGCTCTGTGATCAGCCCTCACAGAGAATGTGTGCTCTCTGTAATCATCAGGATTACAGTGGCATCAGGGTCTCAGCTCCCCAGCTCCACAACACAGTTACTCTCCATGTGAAGCAAAGTGCTCACACAGCATGAGCTTAGTCTCCTGTAATACGCACGTGCATCTTAACAAAGGAGCCTCTCTGTCATTACAGTGCTTTTCTACCGATTCCCTACCTACAGGTTTATAATGTGCACGGGTAACTGGGTGTGAGCTTATATTTGAAAATCAAACAGAACTGTTAGACTTTTGGGAATCAAGAAGGGTATAGGTGAATAATGGTGAGAAACATCATCACATACCATAATATTTTATATTAAAAGCAGGACACATAAAACTGATAAAACTACAATAGTGTTTAAAATTCTAAATGATTAAAAAACATGCATTTGCACGCATGTTTCTAATAAATAATAAAACAGGAGGACAGAGGGCTATGCACTTTAAGGCAGGACAACAGCCCTGTTAGGCTAATATATGGAATTGAAGGAGCATTTGATAGCCAACTGCTGGCATATCCTATGTGAACACTTCGCAACTTCAATTAAACCATACACAAAAATCATCTAGAGTATTTTAGTTAAAATTACAGAAATAGTCATAGCAGCATCAGCTGTAACCCACAGAAGTTTAATGCCTTCAACACACAGTGGGAAATTTAAAAAAAAGGTACCACTGTATTGACTTAGAAGCAACAAAATAACTAAACCAGGTTCAAGGACAATGCATGCAAACACATGTAAACGCATGTAAACACATGTAAAACCCAGATTTTTGTGAAAAGAGCTTATCTTGAGGTCAATCTCAAAATTATATCATTGCCCTCAGTACTTTATTTTTCCAACATACATAATGCTTAAATAAATTAGGACATAACCCAGGTATACCATAAAAAGAATACTTTTATCCTGAGTATCAAAGAGTTGAGAGCTTAACTAGAGGAAAAGAAATATCACAGCCCCATCTTACAAAGAAACATTTGATAGTTAACCTTCATTTGCTTTAGTCGTTTTTTGCTTTTGTTTCTTTGTCTAAAAAAGACAAAAAAAGAAAAATTCTTAAAAGACAGATAAATGCCCTATACAACATGTCACCAAAACACATACAGAAATGTAATTCTGTATGTGTTTCTTCAAGTGATGAAGCCCATGTTACTGACGGTGCCACAGACGGTATATAAGAGAGTCTGTTAAGGAAAACCCGTTTTAAAAGCCTCAAACTGAGTGTTTCATTCTCACCATCACCACCAGCAAAATAACTGCTTACACTTTAACAACAACTGAAGTAACTTAACCATTTGCTCTTTTTTTGTTTGTAATTTACATGAGCTGCATTCGTTTTGCTGCAAGTTTCGGGTATAGATGCACTCAGACTCAGATATTTGCCCTTTCCTCTTGTCTTACGAACAACCGCAGCTCTATAGTAATGAGTAATAGCTTTCTGAAGTCACCACAGCAACACAGACACATGTAAGCTGTACCACACGCCAGCATCTCACAGTGACGAAATAAGACAGACGACAGCTCACCTTTACTTCAGTCAAAATATAAAAACTGTAAAGCTACATTCCAGGACTTGTAGCATAATGTTTAACGGCTTTATAGTTAAACACACTAACTACAATCCACAGACATTAGTCAAACCAAATCAATATTCAAAATTAGGGTAAGAAAAAAAAACCTCAGAAAACAACTGTTCGATTTCTGCACCAAGATTTGAATGATAGCCTCAACTGCATCACAGACTAGAGCCATACTACCTATATCAAGATGGTAGTGTTGGTGGGGGCACAGTCTGGGAATCATTGTACCAACTAAGAACAGCCTTTATGGCCACAGTGTACCCATTTCCTGAAGGCTGTTTCCAACAGGATAATATACCATGTCACAAAGTTTAAATCACACCAAACAAGACAGTGAACTCATTGCCACAATAATGATTCCATACATTTTTCTGTAGTTAATTTGTAGCCATGGAAAACATCAATAAATAAAATCCCCTGAGTAATTAAAAAAATCCCCATCTCACCACAAGTTACAGCTTCCCTGTATGCTAATGTGCATTAAGTCTTACAGGAAGTCAGCCTTTAACCCACATGTGCTGCTAAATCAAACCACAACAAGCATTCAGTAAAAGTATCTCACAAATTTCACCACAAATTCATGATGCACCATAGTCTTAAAAGGTCACATTTATGATTCTTCTGAACACGGTAGCAGATGGGAAACATCAGCCTTTAGTGTGATCACGATCGCAAGTGGCAGAAATATTACGAGAAAGAAATAGTAGAAACGAGTGTGCCGATGTGTTAAACTTAGCACTGCATATTACAAACAGCAATGAAGTCAACTTCATGTTCATCATATATGTAGCAATACCTACAATACCCACCAACTACAAATATATTTCATAAACCTGATTTACATTTCCCATTGTTTTATTTGGGGCTGCTTCAACTTGGTATGATTATTGACTCATTTACCTTTTATTTATTTACTTTTTTACTAAACTTTAAGAACAAATGAAAAAAAGTTTAAAAAAAAAGAAAAAAGAAGAAGAAGTACAATAAAGTACAATGTTTAACGGTTACAAGCTTATGGTGTATTTGATATGGAACAAAATGGTTTATCACTTTAGTGTACAACTGTATGGGCTTTATGGTACCTATGACATGGCATTGCTAGTGAGGTCATTTTTATTTATAATTGACCATGATCACACTGTATATTGTCTACAATATAAAGATATAATGAACAAAAGCACATATTTGCTGCAGTATGGGGTAACATTAGGATCGTGGATTATACTAAGGACTTCTAAGGGAAACGACAGAGATAAGAGTGGACTGCAGCACTGTAATAAAGCTGTAGATGATGATCACTGACTTTCTGTTGCATTACAAAAGGTCTTAAATGGCTACCCTGGGTCTGCGTTTTAGGCTGATAGCAAACTAACGTGCAATACTTTAAAGTCATGGTGTGACATTTAAGCATAGTTCTGTCTGATGGCCAAGTTAAGAGCAAGCAGTCACAGTACCCCAAATGCCAAAAGAACACAGCTGCAATTTACCATCTTGTCAGTGCGGTTGTAACTTCTGCTATCCCAATTAGAAGCTAGCCATTGCATAATTTGTCTACTGTCAGTGCAAATAAAAGCAGGAGAAACCTAGAAGATATGTAGTTAAGTGATCTAATGGTCAGGCGCCCACCAGAAAGTCCCCAGAGCTATTTGGTCTCAAATACCTTCATCTGTGAAATTTTCCACCCACGTACCCCTACATATTTGAGAATCATTGGCCAACAACAAAGAAAGCCAGCAGCAAAATATCAATCTGATCTTCAAAAATGTAAAAAGGAAAAAACAACAACTTTAACCCACTTTGGTCTTATCTTTCTTGCCACACAGTCAGTGCTCAAATTTGCTGACAGTGTCAGGCGCTTTTTCTCACATTAAGCTGTCTCAGTCAGGATGTGGCATAGAAGGTGTTAAAAAGTAACATCCAACATCACGAAAAAGTAGAAACACCACTGCAATGCCATCAAGGGTAATAAGACTTTGCATTTTATAGAAACTAACACAGGTTTATTTTAAGATGAGCATGAGTTTAAAGGCCAAAGAGTACATATCGCCTGTTCCTGCTAATTGTGCAGCGGATAACTGAAACAATCTACAAGCACCAACATTTGCATATTTTTCCCCCTTTAGCCAATAATTTTAAAAAAGAAAATCACTTTATCCCCTTGAATTTTCAAAATGTCAAAACTTCCCAATTCAGTCATCATTTCTATCTTAGAAAACAATTGTTTGACTTATAGAAGTTCAGCCACCTGATGAATTTCAGAGTTTGTACTCTTGATTTATATGCTTCTGATCAAAAGTAACCATAATCTATAACTATAAAATCTCTCTGCATGTATCTGAGTGTCTTAGTTTCAGGTAAAACAAAATGATTGAGATTACGGTGGACCAATGTTTACGTGGATTTTCCCTTCCCCCACTTTTGTAGCACTATGATGCATACAGCTAGGTTCAGACATTCTACAGACAATCTATTTCAATGAATTTTATGTATTCAATGCATAAAGGTTGGCTGCTCAGCTTTCTTATGTTCACTCTCACTTCATGAGAGGTTATCCCAGACATTAGGTATGAAGTGGGGTAAACCCTGGATAGGTTCAAAGCTTCTTCTTATGAGGTTACTATTCAACTAATTTAACTACACCATCCGATTTTCATGCAAGTGTCTGCTAAACATTTAGAACTTTAGTGTTTGCTTTATTCTTCAGTCTACTATTTTAATCTATGGTAAATGCACTTATGCAAGCACAAGCTTTTGGGTTCAGTATCTTGCCCAAGACATGCACTGCAGGAGTCAGAGATCAAACGAAAAACCTTCTGAAATCCCTCTAAAGCTGCATCCACACTACAGGTGTGGCGACCTCAGCCTATAAAAGATTAATGACATTTGTGTCTTAAATCGACCACATTAAAAACCCCAGGGGGTAATCCCAAGATTCACTTTTCTCAACACTGAGGAGAGAGGCTGATGTAACTATCAGTGAGAAGCAGAACACCATTGACTGACATATGATCAGTAGTGAATATATCAGAAAATACCCAGTTAAGCAGAGCCTGAAATGTCCACTAGCGACCAGTTACCAAACAAAGCAACATGTGACCAGCTTCCTGTGTGGATGCAGTTTAAATCCTATGTCACCATACACAGCAAGCTATTTGGGGGGCCACAGGTAAGACAGGGGTAACTATTGAGGAGTGTAACAGGTCCACCAAGTAGATGTGAGTGAAGCAAAAAAGTATAACTTGTACTACTACAGTCCACTCCCCTGCTAGCAAACTATTATGAAAAAAGGCAAACTTC